CTTAACTAGAATCAACTCTATCTTCCGTTTTGTGTACTACATTACTGATCCTCTTTTCTACAAATTTGGAATAGAAACTTGATATAATAATTATTTTTATAAAAAAATATATCACTAGTAAGATTTAGATAACTATACTAGTGATCAATTACATATCTTAAGAGTTTCAATATCCTTTGTAGTATTGTCAAGGAAATCTTGCAGAGTAGAAAGATATTGACAGAGAGATTCAACATATTGTTGTGTACAACATTCACAAACCAAAGATTCATTATGTTTGAAGAGTTGCTTCAATGTATACATACGTGAAGAGAGAGCAGCGTATCCATTTTTTTTATTTGTTGGATTGATAACTAAAAGATAGAACCTTTCATATTTCCTCAATCTCTCTGCTTTGTTCTTAGGCTAAGTGGTAACTTTTTATAAATGGGGAACAAAGGTGTAGTGTAATTACCTTGTATATTTTGTTTAATTAATAGAAGAATCGTAGAGATTGTAGTCCAAACAGAGCTAGAATACCAGATACAAGCTCGGCCAAACCCAATAAGTTTTCCTCACTAGTATATTTATATTACAAAAAATTATCAAATATATACAAATATTAAGTTTAGAACTTAGTTATTATCATCCATATAAAATTCATAACCCACAAGACTATAGTTCTAGCTTGTCCTCTGAATTTACCATACAAGAGAAAAAGAAAAACAGAACATAACATTAACCTGGGCCTTTTCTAATTCAAAACAAGCACCAGATTGAAGAACATTCAAGGCATTGGAGTATCTCTTAGCAGACGCATATTTGAAAACAAATATAGACATCATTATTATAATGAGCACGTAATCAAATTCAATTGAATGATGACCGCGTTATCTGGCACTAGTAGACTTGTACATTTATTGAGCTCCATAGTAATTCTCCTCTTTCACAACCTTCTATAACTTATCAATATTCTGTGATTATCCAAATCAAGGTCAATGAAATAGAAGTCAAATAAGTAAAGATTAATCGTTAAGTTTTCCCTCTTGAGCTGGTGGTTGTATCACTTATAATATAGTAACATCCCATATTCTATGTGTACTAGTTTTATTTATATGACACTTATAAATTGCCTTTTGATATAGCTTTGTTTCCTATGCAACTAGTGACAATAGAATAGGCTTAAAGTTGAAATACATGTTCTTTCCAACACATATATGACTAAGTGAACTCAAAAACAATTCAAACTCGAGATAGTAAAAGGTGGTATTCGATGTAAAAGTCGAAGTGTTCAAGTGTGTATTAGTGCTATGGTCTTATAAAGAAACTAAGATTGGGAAAATGGTATAAAATAAGTGAGGTGATTTCTTGACTAAACTATACTAGTAGGTGATAACTAGGTGATACAACTACTTAGAATTAGTGGACTGCAGTTTAAGTTAAAAGGGGCAAGTAGGTGATGCACCTACTTAGAATTAGTGGACTGAATTTGAAGTTAAAAGGGGCAAGTAGGTGATGCACCTACTAGAATAAGTGGACTACAGTTAAGTTAAAAGATTAAGTAGGTGATGCACCTACTTAAAAACTTGTGGCAGAAATTAAGGAGGTGATGCACCGGCTTGCATAAAGTAAAGGACCATATTATTTGTCCATTTTATGGATTGAAAATGTCCAGAAGCTACCTGTAAAGCATTCAAGCTCATCACATCTTCTTTACCACTTTTTATCCAAAAAAATTACTCCCAAGGAAATCCATAGAAGCTCCAAGAATTCTAGTCTACAACTTCACCGTTGAAATATGAAGGAAACAGGTGTTTTTAAAGTACAAATTGGTATAACATCTCCCATATTAACAAATTCAAGTGAATAATCTGATCTAACATCAAAGTAAGTGGGAGAGGACAACCTAAACCTTGAAGAATCCAAGTCTTAAATAGTGAGGTTTCGTTCCAGCAATGTAAGCTATGAAAATTTTCATGCCTCTCTTGTTTTTGCATCGTTTGGGAAAGTTTGTGTATGTTAATGAACTGAGGAGTTCTTGTTGGGACAACCATGGAGTGGAGTACCCTTAGATTTTGATCATGAGCTCATTTTGAGCATCTTAAATGTAATGTTAGTTGGAACTCACAGGGTTCTAATCGGAAGCCGTGAGCTTATATTGTTACTTCCACATTGTGATGGCTAGGTACTATTTTGCATATCATAAAACAAGAGAGTTTTAATGGATATGTGTAGATAAGTCATGAGGACTGGTCAGAGGATAGAACATTAAAAGACTAGTGATACACCACTTAATTGAGTGTTGCATGAGCTTACTTTCTTTCGTTCCTTTAATACAGTTTTCCAGACGTGATGAAGCCCGGGGAGTTTCGGAGGATCTTATAAGAAGGTTGTATAGTATATAAAATTTTTAGAGGAGAATGGATGGGAAGAACACTCTTGATGGGACCAATTATAGATATGCTGCCAATTACTGTTTTGGTCTTATTAATTAGCTCAAACATGTTGATAAACTACTAATGCTAGTTACATTATTCCCTCCATTGTAGATAAATAATCTGAAAGTAAGACATCTAACACATTTTAATATCCAATTTTGTGTAGTAAGGTATGTAAGGCTATTCGATTTCCTATTTCATTGGCTTGAATATAACACTTGTATTACAAAGTAAGATTTCTACGTGCCCTTGGTAGTGACTGATCCATAGTTGCAGTTCCTACTCCCAAGAGCATTGAAGTGAGTACTCTGATATGATTTTATTACAAAATGTACGTGCCTACTCTACCAAGCATTAACATACAAGGTTTAAATTTATTTCATCGTCAAAGTTCCCTTCGCACGTGTTCCCCTTATATAAATAAAAAAGACCCTAGATTACACATGATACATATGTTTCGATGTTGGATATACAAGCTTCCCATATCTTGCCAGCTTACTTAAATTGTAAATTCTATCATATATGTCATCTTTCACATGTCCATATGTTACCTTTATTGGTTATTACTCCCATTGTGTTAGATTATAATGTTACCTCACAAGATCCTTACTTGCTTTATTGTACATTTTATATGTAATTTCTTGGAATATGTATCCATCCTTAAGTTGAATCTTTCCACATTCTCCTTTAGTTCCACGTTGATGTATACCTTGTATTTGATATTAGTTAGTGAGTATTTGAATATAATATAGAGTTCAAATCTCTTGGCTGAATGTTAAATGTCTTCAGTTGATATGTACTTCAGTTGGAGATGTCCAAATGCTTACTGAGTCATATAAGCTCCTATGTATTACATTGGTGTCACATTTGCTTCCCACGTCATTGTCATTATTGTAAGTGCATATTCGTATGTCTTCTACTACTGGTCCATAATTCCAAATCTTAACAATGATTATAACTACCAAAACAACAACTTCAAAAGAGTTATGATCTATCAAAAGAACAATCTCAAAAGAATTGTGAACATCAAAACAACAATCTCAAAGATTAAAGAATCTAAGTGAAGCAATTTGTATAATTATGGGTGGTATCTGAGAGGAAAATGTCTTGCATGGGCCAATCCCAATTGGTATAGAAGGGTGATAGCTCAAGGGCGAAAGCCTAGCATGGGTAGATCCCTATTTGTATAGAAGAGTAGTATTTCAGGGGCGAAAGACTGGAATGGGCCGATCCCAATAAATATCATAACGTACGTCAAAGTAAAGAAAATATTGTAACATGTATAAAAAATTCCACAAGTATAAGCAAATGTGGTTTCTAATCCTTATCTATTGGTATTTGATTTCACTTGAACTCTCATTTTACATATGGTTGTATTATTACTTACATATTCAGTACATTCTTTTGTGCTAACGTCCCTTATTGGTGATGCTGCGTTTTGTGTTACAAGTACATTTACTCAACTAATAGATCTCCTTAGTAGGAACACATGATACTCATCAGTTCTTGATGAGCTCCAGGTTGATTCGGGGCTTTGTCGAGTCTTTTATGCATATTTTCATAGTGTATTCATGGTTTCACTTGTCACTTGTATCGTTTTAGCTAGTCAACATGTATTGTATACAAAAGTTGTCATTAGTAAATCTATTTGCAAAGTAGTTTATTTTCTCATCATAGGTCACTTGCAAAACATGTATTCATATGGTACGTGTCTATCTCACCTAGGGTTGGGGTGTGACACTGACTCTCTCCTTAACATGATTTCAAATAAGTAAGAAGAACAATTGAATTTTTTTTTTGTTAAAACTGTTTGATTGTTTTTCATTTCTCTATACAAAAAGGAGAAAAAAAATAGGACTTTTCTTCTTCAATGAAGTCATGCATTGAACGCTGAAATCATGTTATTAAAAGCATGAATAAAGTTTCATTTTTTTGGCCTGAGTTTTTCCATAGGCCTATGTTATCTAAATCTACATTCAATTAAAATCATCATTAAAGTTGTTGATTAAATTTTTTACCCTCTATTTAAATATTTTATAATAAATAAAATTGGTAAGTATAATTTACTTATATAATTAAATTTCTAATACTTTATACTCCTTCCATCCTTTTTTATGTGGGACCCTTTTCTTTTTAGCTTGTACGAAAAAGAATGTCACCTTACTATGATTAGAAAGCAATAATGCACAAGTACTCCCCGTGACTATAAACAAAATCCTAGAGACACACCTTAACTAAAATAAGGTCCTATTACCCCATCCCTCCCGACCTTTTTTTTAAAAATTTTGTACACCTTTTGTCTTACATGAATGACCAAGAACTGTTATGAGTACCACTTGACATTAGTTTCTCCGCCACGAACATCATATAGAAGCCCGATACTTTTTGTCAATTATAATTGGAAGTTGTATACATTTATAAGGACTTAAATTCCAAGAACACCATATCAAACAAAAAGTCTTAGGTTTTGTAGATTTCTACTTCTTGGTATTCTCCCCCCTCCCTTCGCCGCCGCATAACACAACGCCACCACTATCGATGTCTCAATTCAGGCAGAATTGGCGTCATCGAATGAAAGAGGGATCACAATATTTGTACCAATTCATCCTCCTCCTCCACTATCGAGAAATCCATAAGTGTTGTCACCGCCGCATTCCTTGTAGCCACATCCTCCTCTTCCTCCTCCTTCATCTCCTCCTCCACCTTCTCCAACACCGTGCCTACCTCCACCCCCTTATCCTTCGTCTTCTTGTCAAGCGTCTTAGCCACTTTTCTCTCCGCTGATATATCGGTAGCTGCCTTTATCCCCTCCTCGACCTTCTCAGCCACAATTCTGTCATCTTTAATTAGCAATTTCACCAAAGGAGTCTTTTCTTTAGGTTATTAACCTCAAGAAAGCATTAAAAACTTGGAGAAAGGCATTTAACCATTAATTTCACCTGTGATTTATATGTATCATGAATAGTTTTGTCCAACTTTTTGTAGGTTTTTGAACCAGCAATTGGAGCGCCATTAAAGTCTGCAAGCACAACCAAGTATTTAAACCTGGAAACATAACATTACTTGTTCATGCTATCTTCAGCACCAAAAGATTGCTATGATCTAATGACTCCATGAATTTTTATAAAAGCAAAGAGAAAAGTGTCACAACAATTACCAATTTATTACCACTCCCATTTTTGTTGTCTTCTTTAAAGGAACGTTATTTCATTGACCAGAAAGAGAGCAAAAGAATACATGCAAACATGGGATGGTAAGAAAAGATATTAATGCCAGATAGGTACTAGATTGCTATCTTTTCTTACCATCTCATATACGTGAATTCTCTTGCTCCCTTTCTAGTTATTGAAATGAAGCTTCTTTTCAAAATTAAAAAAAAGACGACAGAAACATGATTGGTAATAAATTAGTGATTGCTTGTGACACTTTTCTCTTTTATTTTATAAAAAACTCATGGAGTCATCATATCATAGCAATCTCTTGGTAATGCAGATAACATGAACAAGTAATGTTAATTTCCAGGTATAAAGACCAGGTTGTTCTTGCGAATTGCGATGGTGCTCCAACTATTGGTTCAGAAACCTACAAAAAGTTGGATAAAAATGTTCGTGATGCATATGAATCACAAGTGAAATTATTGATTAAATGCCTTTCTCCAAGTTTGTAATGCTTTCTCCAGGTTAATAAGCCAAAGGAAATACTCATTTTGTGCAATTGCTAATTGAAGCAGATAGAATCGTGGCTTAGAAGGTGGACGAGGGGACAGAGGCGGATACCGATTTATCAGAGTAGAGAACAGTGGTCGATACTCTTGATAAAAAGATGAAGGAGGAAGGATGGAGGTAGGAACGGTGTAAGAGAAGGTGGATGCGAGACGAAGGAGAAGGATGAGGATGTCGATACAAGGAATTCAGTGGAGGCAGCGAAAAATATGGATTTCTCAATAGTGGAGGAGGAGAGATGCATTATAAAGAATATGGTGATCACTCTTTCACCCGATAACCCCAATTCTGCCTGAATTGAGACATTGATGGTGGTGGCAAATTTCTACGCGACAGCGGTGGCGGGGAATCTTTTAGAGGTAGAAGTCTACAAGTCCACACTTTTTGTTAGATATGATTTTCTTTGGAATTGAGTCCCTATAAGTGTCTACGGCTTCCTACTATATCAAACAAAAAGTGTGGGCTTCAAGACTTTTACATCTACGACATTCTCTCCACTATATCACTTGACATTAGGTTTCTCCGCCACAACCATCACAACATAATCTTTGCCAACATCAATGATGTCTCAATTCACGAAAAATTTGAGTTAGCAGTGAATGAAGGATCGTCATATTGTACCAATACATTTCTCCTCTTCCAATGTGGAGAAATTCATATTCACCACTTTGTCTGAATTGAAATGTGTTTGGAAATTACTTGCTCTTTTTTTGTTGTTGGATATTGGGTTTGAAATACCCAATTCTTGATTTTGGGAATGTAGATGTGCCATTCTTGATTCGATTCAAACAATGGAAAACACTAGACTATGTATAATTGATTAATGAATGATTTTACCTAATAACTCAAAAATCTATGTCATACATTGTTTTTAATTTTTAAATAGCAGTCAAATTTTAAACCCTAATAATTTGATGAAAAAATATTTAAGAAAGGCCTATGACATGGTAAACTGGGAATTTGTGGAGGAAGCACTCATTGGATATGGATTTCCTAAAAGCTTTACAGAGTTGGTAATATTATGTGTAACTTCACCATATTTTAATATAAAAGTAAATGGTGAAGGGCATGAATTTTTTGCTGGCAAGAGAGGTTTACGACAAGGGGATCCAATGTCTCCTCTCTTTTTTGTCCTAGTAACGGACGATTTGAGAAGGGTCTTAAAGTGGATGAATTACCTGGATTTCATTTTCATTGTTTGTGTAAGCATCTTATAGGTTGACTCATTTAATCTTTGTTGATGATCTAAATCTCTTGAAAAGGTGACACTAGTTATGTGGCTAGAGTGATGGAAACTTTAACTCATTTTAGTGAAGTAACGAGTTTTGTGGCCAATGTATATAAATCTAACCTGTTTGTAGCTAGAGTAGACGATAGGAACTTGCGGACAATTGTTAGGAATGACTGGGATCACTCTAAGACATCTTCCAATGAGATATCTTGGGCTTCTATTGTCCTCCAAGAAGTGGAAGAGATTGGACCCAACTAATATAGAAGATCACTAGCCGAATTAAAACTGGTTATATCTTACGCCGGTATAATTCAAATTGTGGCTACTGTTTTTCTCTCTGTACATAGTTTATAGGGGTTTGTGTTCATTCTAGCCCAAAGTATTCTCAAGGAAGTTGATAGAATTTGTAGGAACTATCTTTGGGGAGTAATGAAGAGAGGAGGAAAGTGTCACATGGGAGAAGATTTGTTGTCCACATGAGTTTGGAGGGCTACAGTAATTGGATTGTTGCATCAGTAGGAAAATCTTCACGGAAGTTATCAGAAAAACAAAATAAGTTGTAGGTGAAATGGGTCATGAGATTTAAATAAGGAATGATGATTCCATTTGGGAACATATATATTTTGCCTCTAGATTGCAGTTTGTACTTGAAAAAGTTATATATACTGCCGAACAACTAGAGGAACTGGTATATACAAAGGAGGTATAATCTAACTCATTGGGCCAATATTCAATCTCTGCAGCTATAATGCAACACTGGGTGAATTGAACAGGCTAAAGATAGTTGATCTTATTTGGACTTTTGCAACACAACCAAGGCATTGAATGATAATGTGATTAGAAGTACAAGGCAAACTACTTATCAAGAAGAGGATGTTATGTTTGAACATTCCTATTGATAATGAGATATGTTATTTATGCCACAACCAAGTGATGGAGACCCAGTTGCATCTCTTTATCCACTACACTTAGCTGGGACAAGTGGAAGCTGGTATTCACCTTGGGCTAACATATAAGTTTATATAGGTGAGATGCGATAGGTACTAGAAAGAATCAAGAGGAAACATTGGAGGCAATTCTATAAAGAAGTGGTTGAAACAGGTTGGAGTGACATAGTTTACCACACTTGGAGGGAAAGAAACTGGGAGTTCTATAGAGGCACAATTGTGAAGTCACATAGCAATTGCACAGATAAAAAACAGAATTTATAGAGAGAATGACATTGTTCAGGGGATCTAACAAGGCTCATAAAAGTAATAGGTTGATTCAACATTTTTCTATGTAACTATTTTCTTGTCCCGTTGTAGGGCTTGAAGACATAAACCTTTTTAGAATGTGGCTATGAATTTAGGTGCTATATAGATGTAATGATCCTTTTGTTTGTTAATGATATTTGCATTTAACCAAAAAACCCTAATAATTTTGAAAAACATCGACTTGTGAAATCAAATAGCATTATTTATTTTTCTTTTGTAATCGTTGTTCCTATTTTTTTATCTTTTGTTTTGTTTGATGTTCATGGTAAGTGCAAAATATCCATCAATCAATTAATAAAAAAAATATGTGAAACTGATACGTATCAGAATCATGGGAAAAAAGAATCAATGTTCATTTCTCTGTTAAAAAAGACAACAAAACCATCCGTTTCTGATTCACCTGCAATCCTACACTCAAGAATCATAAGAATCTTAAGTTTGAGTGAGATTCCAACATTGAATAAAAATTAAGATCGGTACCACTTACCTTACCAAAATCATCAATAATTTCTAAGGTCAAAGAGTGGGCAAAACCCTTCGTTTTCATTTCTCCAACACTCAACAACCACAAGAATCTTAATTAGAATAAGATTTCAACTTTGGCAAAAAAAAATATCAATCAAATCAATTAATAAAAGGAATTTGTACCACTAATACTTACCGAAATTGCCGATAGAAATCATTGTTATTTCTAAGATTAATGAGTCGACAAAAATCCTTCATGATTCTCCTACACTCAAGAACCACAAGAATCTTAAGTTAGAATGAGATTTCAAATCTTAGCTATTAGGGTTATGATAAAATCAATCGGATAACTTACAAAACCACTAGATATGTCATTGAAATAAATAATTTTGTTGTGCCTCTTTTCTTCTTGAATTCTAAGGATGAGCATCTGATCCTAACATTATTTATAAGGAGTCAACCAGTGATTTACCTGATGACGCCCATCAAAAATGTAAATTGAGCAAGAACTATAGGAAAAATACGAAAAAAGTTGTTCGTGAATATATGAGTCTAATAATGATAACTTGTAAAGAAAAACTTATATTTATGCACCAAAACCAATTAATTTTTAAGAGTATAAATTTATAATCATTATACAAAATATAACTTCTTAATATTTTATTATTTTTAATTTTTAAATTAAGTAACTTTAACTTCATTATTTTTTTAAAAAATCATAAAAAACATCGCCTCAAGATTTAAATATTCAAAAAAAATATAATTTACTTTTATTTATTACTTAATTTAGAAAAAAATAGATAAATGAAATTGTATTGTTGACATTTACATTTTGTACTAGTGGAGTTGCCCTTGCTTTGCACGGGTCCAATATTTATTTTCTTGTACTAGAAGCCTAAAACTTTAATTTGTCAGTAAGCCCAAGTAGAGCCGCAACGTTGAACATTTACTTGTTTGTTCAACACTGTAGCAACTGTGTCTTTTTTTTTTTGCAAAAAGCAGTCTATATATTTCATTCCGTCTAAGCTTCATCTCGATTGACCCTTTTTTTTGGGGGGGGGGGGGCATCCTTCTTTTCTTTAGAATTCATTTGCCCTGCAAGTTCAGTGTACACATCTATTTTAAACTGGTAAAGAATAACGATTGTCATTGTGCAAAGTAATATTAAATTTTATAATTAAACCAACTTAGTATATGCAATGGTCTATGATCTATAAAATGTCAATTGTATCGGATTTGCCAAAAAAAATAGCATTTGATAGGAACAATGCTATTTGCACGGTTTGATCTTTGAGGTTTGGACATTGAAGTAGTATTAGTCAATTGAAGACAACAACAAGAAGAGACAAAGTAGGTATCTTTGCAATTATGTACACAAAACTGAATAGTCATTTATTACTACTACTCTTTTGTTATTACTGTGTTATCAAACAAGATAAAATCTAATGAACATCTTCCTCCAATATTCTAGTTGCTAACATGTTCTTATCGAGGAGAAGATGCGCTTAGGTAGACAATTTTTCTGTTAAAAGATTGGAAATTTGATAGGAAAATTAACCACAATAAGTTTCACTTATTACCATATCTTCCAATTCACCCGTGCTAGCACGCATCCAATATCTGTTTTTTTTTCATTTTCTGTGACAGAGATAAAATTTGAAGAGTTAATTAAACTATATATTATTTTAAATACTTTAAGTTATTAATTATTATAATTTATAGTATCTTATGTAATTTTAAATAATATATGTTATTTTCCTTGTCCTAATATATAGAAATAGAATTTCAAGAGTCAATATGTTGTTAATTATCACGTGAAACCACACATGTGAAGCAAACATATTGGTTGTCTCTTGTGTTGTTAAGATGGAACAACTAAAATATGAATAAGAAATATATTTACGTATACGAAATGTCCAAAGTATCATATCAATAAATAAGCTGAAAAAAAGAAGATGCTGAAATTAATCAATGACCTCTACTAATTAAAAAACAAATTTTCAATGTGAAAATCTCGTAAATCAATTAGTAGATGTAGAGGTCTTTGATTATCGAAAGTTTACTCCCTCCGTCCACTATTAATTGTCATACTTTCCATTTTTAAAGTCAAATCATAAAAATTTTGACTAACATTTTACAATATATTTTTTCATTATATTGATATGCAAAAAATGCAATATAGTTTTGAGTATCTAAATTGTTTGGTTAAAATATCAAATTAATGTAATCTAATTTAACTTTGAAAATTAGTCAAATTAACATTCGAAAAGCGTAACATAACAAATAAAAGTAAACGGAGGGAGTAATAAGAAGAAGCTGAAATAAAAACAGAAATAAAAAATGATGTTGGGTATGCAAAAAATGCAATATAGTTTTGAGTATCTAAATTGTTTGGTTAAAATATCAAATTAATGTAATCTAATTTAACTTTGAAAATTAGTCAAATTAACATTCGAAAAGCGTAACATAACAAATAAAAGTAAACGGAGGGAGTAATAAGAAGAAGCTGAAATAAAAACAGAAATAAAAAATGATGTTGGCCAAGGTTCGAACCCCAGACATTGGGGTCGAAATATGAAGCCTAATCCAGTAGGACAAATAGCTGGGTGTGTGAATAAGCACACAGCTGAAGGAGACATTTTGACCTTCAGCTGTGTACTTATTGCCACTTATATATAAGTAGTAGATAAGTGTTTTCTTACTTGATTGAACTTATTTTTACTTGTGACAATTCTTCATATATATTATTTTCTTCTTAAATTTTAATAGCTTTTACTTTAATTTTTTTAATATTATAAAAATGATCAATTCAAAAATCTCAATATTTAAAACATGACATTTTACTTTGGATTTTTGCCATTTTTAGTAAATATATAAATAAATAAAATTGTCATATTTGTTAACATTCATTTGTTCTAAGTATTTTCGTATTTGCATAAAAATACGTTTTTTGTATATCCATTTTTAAAATTTACTTAGCTCTAACTTTATTTTTAATTTTGTACACAAGTACTGAGATTGCTCATACATAACCCCCCCACCCCTCTCTCTCCCTCTCCCTCTCCCTCTCTCTCTCTCTCTCTCTCT